TTCAATATGGACACTTTTGGTCATGCAATAAATTACTTGTTGTTATCATTGACTTATTACTGATCAAATGAGTTATGGAATTATACGAATTTTTTTTTAAAGAGCTGTCTATGCACTCTTGAATTCAATGCTTTTGGATTGAAAAAAACATTGCTATTATATTTTCTGAGATATCCGCTTTTATTTTTTATTGATGTAATTTTTTTGGTACCGGGGATTGAACTCAGGACCTTTCGCTTTCGAAGCAGGGGGCAGATTTAGCCACTGAGCTAAATCCCCCAGCCCTCCACTTTTGTTAAAAGAGTTGCTTGAAATCCTGGGACTTGGGAGGCAGAGGTAGGAGGATCACAATTTTGAGGCAGTTTAGCAAGACTATCTCAAAATTTAAGAAAAAATGTTTTTAAAAAGAGCCAGGGATATATAGGTAAAGACTTTATGAACAAAACCTCAGTGGCACAGGAACTTGCACAAAGAATCAACAACTGGGATCTTATCTTATTAAAAAGCTTCTGCACTGCAAGAGAAACCACCAACAGAGCTAACAGAGCTAACCCACAATGTGGGAAAAAAATTTCAGCAACTGTACCTTAGACAAAGGACTACTATCTAGGATATATAAAGAACTGAAAAAAATCAGACACCCCAAATACAGAGACCCAATTCAAAAATGGGCATCTGAAATGAACAGACATTTTTCAGACAATTAAAAGCAGCAAATAAATATATGACAAAATGTTCAACATCACTGGTCATTCGAGAGATGCGGATGAAAACAACACTGAGATTCCACCTCACCCCAGAAAGAATGGCTGCTATTAAGAAACCATCCAATAACAAATGCTGGCAGGGTGTGGGGAGAAGGGAATCCTTCTCCATTGTTGGTGGGAGTGCAGACTGGTGCAACCACTGTGGAAATCAGTATGGAGATACCTCAAAGAACTAGGCTTAGAGGTCCCATTTGACCCAGCTATTCCCCTGCTGGGTATCTTCCCAAAAGAATTAAAAGAATCATACCACAGCAATGTATGTGCACCCATGTTCATAGCGGCACAGTTCGTAATAGTGAAAGCTTGGAAACAGCCCAAGTTCCCATTAACTGGAAACTGGATAAAGAAGATGTGGTTTTTTAATAAAACGGAGTACTACTCAGCCATAAAGAATGACATACTAGAGTCATTTATAACTAAATGGATGCATATCGAGGCCATCCTCTGAAGTGAAATAGGACACATAGGTGTAAATACGGAATAGTTTCTGTAGTGTGAGAAACTGAAAGTGTTAATTAAGGATACACACGGATGAAATGGCCTGATATATTTATCGGATTGTGTTTCCATCGTGTGTCATATGTCTGTATCGAAATTTAAATTAGGGAGAAGCTTGGCTTATGTGGAGTCTGCTAACTAACTGGAGTTTTTTTCCAGACCACAATTTGTTCAGTGTTGGTTTTGGGGATCATTCTGAAACAAATCACATCCTCTGGTGTCTTGTTGGTGCTTGAGATGCTTTCTTAAGTTATATGGAAAAATGTTGAAGTGCTTTTCAGTTTTGTTTTGGGTGAGTTCTACTGTATTTGAATATTATTGTACTTTTTTTCCCCTTGTATTGTTCTTCTTTGAATGGTTTTAATTTTTGTATGTGTGTGTCTTTGATAATAAAGTTATTTTAAAAATAAGAAAAAATACAGGACCTGAGGAGCATGATGAAATCCCAATACAGGTAACAAATGGAATCCATAAAGCAGATGAAAACAGATTTCCAGGACATTAAAAACTCCATTGAAAGTTTATGCAGCAGAATGAGCTAATGTGAGGACAGAATTTCAGATACAGAAGATTGCAGTTCATGACCAGGAAAAGAAAAATTGCTTTAAAATTGTAAGGGACCATGAGAAATCAATCCAGCAGCTGCTAGACGATGCAAAGAAGAATAACATAAGACTGATCAGAGTCAGTGAAGAAATAGGAGAGAGTGCAGATGACATAAAAAATCTGTTCACAGAAGTGATGGCAGAAAACTTCCCAAGCAGGGGAAAAGAATTTGACATACAGATAAGTAAGGCATATGGGACTCGAACTAGCCTTGATCAAAAAATACTATACATAGGCATATAACAGTTACGATTCTAGAAACCCAACTGCTATGGGATTGGTAGCAAATGCAGTCTGAACTACATAGCGAGACCCAGTCTCAAAAATCACAAAACTTTTTCCTTTTGATAGTAATATTTGCTCATAGTACAAAATGGTATATATTTCCTGTCTAGTCAGGAATTGGTCTAGGCTCATGTTTTGTTGCTATCTTTACCTTTAATGTACCCTATGTTTCAGATTTTCATTATGTGGACTTCTTTTGCCTTGTCCTTAGGATTTCAGAGGGTTTTTCTTTTCTTTTTTTGGTACTGGAGATTGAACTCAGGACCTTGTGCTTGCGAGGCAGACGCGTTGCCACTGAGCTAAATCCCCGGCCCCTAGAGGGTTTTTCTTAATGTTCATGCTCTCACCTCTATTTTCCCTGAAGAACCATGCCATAGAGGAAATCTCCTGCCACACGTTTTTCTTTCTCAGTGGTATATTGGTGTTGAGGGCATCTCTTGTCCTTGCCCTACCTGTCTTAACCATGCTTGTGTTCCTGGAGCCACCAAGGGACCTTTTCAACTTTTTTATTCGTTCTTCTGACTTATTTATGTGTTTGGCCTCGAGTGAGAATTTCCTGCTTCTTTCTTAAGGCTAACAGAACAATGTTTAATAGTAGTGTGGGATTCAGAGCTGTGGACAATATTTGGTTTCCCCCCCAAGTAGAGAATTTCTTTTTCTCCCAACTTTCAGGTCTTTGCTTGTGCCTTGAGGTAACTGAGCTTTCCGCCCCTCCCCTCACCGGATTAAAGCTTCTAATTTGTGGGAAGAAAATATGTGGAGAAGGTAGCTAGGATCCTTGCCATTTTTCTTTCAGTAGTTGAAGATTACCCCTTGTTGGGCTACCTCACTGAGAGATTTCTATTTTCCTGCTCAATCCTCAGGCTTTGTTGTGCCTAGAGGTTGTGGAAAGTAGTTTTGAGTGCAGACTTTCCTTGTTAGTCCACACTGACAAGCTAGCACAGACTTGGTGTTTTGACAGTTGGTTAAAATTTTAGTTGATTTTTTTTATTACTAATTTTAGTATTGGCCATTTCTCTGCCTTATGAATTTCCATTTCTGTACCTAAATGTTTTAGGATAGAGAGGAAAATATTGTTACCAGTCATTTATGTTCAAATGCTTAGGTGCATTTACTAGTCACTGACCAAATCAAAGGAGGCTATATATTTATTTATACACACACACACACACACACACACACACACACACACACACACATATTTTTGATACCAGGGATCGAACTCAGGTCCTTGTGCTTGCGCAGCAGTCATATATTTTGGTAAAAAGAAACAAAGGATTTATTCCAAGCTAAGTGAAGAGATGTAGGGACCCTTTTGCTTCAGATCACCAACTCACTTTGTTGTTTAAAGGGTCTTTTATAGTACGGGAAAAAAGGGGAGGAGGAGCACAGAGAGATATTGCAGATCTCCACACTTGATTTATCACTTTTAGCCATCTTAGTTCATCCTTCTCTTTCTAGTAGAAAGGAAACCAGGCTTGTCTTTTGAGGTATGCATCTGCATATTCTGTACTTCTTTTGGGCCAAGGAGAGGAGAGGGTGTTGGTTACATGCTGAACAGGAGAAAGTTTGGAGAAATTGCTTATCTCTTTTTTTAAAAAAATGTAACTTTTGAAGTTCCATTTTGCAGTGCCTGTTATAATTTGAGTTAGGTTCAACTGCCTTTGAAACAAGGTGACAAAATCTAATGATAATCAAGAGCCCATACTGTATTTATTTTTTTCTTTGAAAAATTAAGTTCACTCTATAAAACAGAATTAAGCTCAAGTTTATAGAAAAACTGAAGAAATAAAATTGGCATCAAGATGTGAAAGGCTAGTTTTAGATTTTCCAATAAAATGCTTCATACTTTTGAAAATCTCAGTTCTTAAAAATTCTATTTAAGGCTGGGCATAGTAACACATGCCTATAATTCTAGCACTCAGGAGGCTGAGACAAAGGATCTCAAGGTTGAGTCCAGCCTGAACTACATACAGACACTATAAAACTATGAAAGATGTTTTGTGGCACAAGTGTCATGAATACCTTGCCTCTATCATTGATCTCTTTTGTTGTCTAAACTATTTTTTAAATTTTTTGCTTTAAAGTATCTTAATAAAGGTCCACATTTAGTTGTTTTTTTTTCTGGAACAAGGGATTGAACTCAGGACCTTGCGCTTGCCAGGCAGGTGGTGGAACCACTGAGCTAAATCCCTGGCCCTGTAGAACTTATTTTGAATGAAAGGCTTAGAACAGTCAAATAAATAATGATTCTAAAATAGTAATTTAAAGTACTTCAATTTTTTTTTTTTCTCGTGAAAGAATCTTGCTATGTAGTTCGGGCTGGCCTTGAACTCTGTAAGTAGCCCAGGCTGGTCTGAAACTCCACAGTAATCCTGCCTCAGCCTTCCAGTGCTGATGTTATAGGTGTGCATCATCACTCCTTTCGAATTACTGTGTAGTTGCAGTTTAAAATGAAAACCGATAAAACAGTGTATCTATAAAAGTCATGTTTCTGTTTTCATTCCACCCCCTCCCCTACCCCCCGTGCTGAGGAATGAACTGAGGGCCTTGCACATGCTTGGGAAGTGCTCTGCCACTGAGTTACATCCCCAGCTCTATTTTTTTTTTTATTGACAGAGTTTTGTTAAGTTGCCTGGGATGACCTCAAATTTATAATCATGCTATCTCAGCCTCCTGAATAGCTTGGAATGCAGGGATGTGCTATTGTGCCTGGCTTGCCTTCTATATTTGTCTAGGTGAACTTTGAAAAAAGAAAAGATTGCTATGTGGAAAGTGAAAAAAAAAAGCCTTTGGTCAATTTGCTATCATGTCATACTTAATATGTTTTTTAATACCTTTTAGGACAGTGGTGATTATCCCCTTACCATGCCTGGACCCCAGTGGAAAAAATTTCGTTCAAACTTTTGTGAATTTATTGGAGTCCTGATTCGACAGTGTCAATATAGCATAATTTATGATGAGTATATGATGGACACAGTAATCTCCCTTTTGACTGGTTTGTCAGACTCCCAGGTCAGAGCTTTTAGACATACAAGTACCCTTGCTGGTAAGTAAGCAACATTTTCTTTCCTTTTCATCTAATTCTTCTTCTAATTAAAACTTTCTTTAGATCAAATGTTAATTTCAACTGTGTTCCTGACAACATGTTCTTCCAAGTTTATCTAAATGGTTTGCCTATGAATAAAAATTGAAAGTATCTCACCAATGTCAATAAATGTCTATCTAAAACAATGTCAATAAATGTCTATTTAAATGTTTAATATCTTCTTTCCTTATTTTATAACCACAGAAATTTTAAGAGACCATTATACCATACTTTTTGATAAACCCATTATAGTAGTTTTTAAAATAGTAGCTTAAATTCGAGGTTTACATTTTTTTCCTCTACTTAATTGCTTTGCTTTATTGCTTATCATTATTGTAGGTAAGTGTATAAATATTTGTGTATATTTTGGAAATAATTCTGCTTAGTAAGAACATTCTTTCAGCTACTGCTGTATAACTTAGATATGTCTAGGTAACATCTCTAACGTCAGTTCATTCGGATGTGCTATAGATAATCTGAAGGATTGACAGATTGTAGTTTTCTCTTTTGCTTTATTCTCTTCAGAATTATCTTGATAACTTGTCAGCCAAGTATATTCCTTTTTTCCTTGCTTCTTTCACAAGATACTTTTGTTAATTTAGCAATTCTGTTTTCCTTCTATGACTTTAATTGTGCTTACCTAAAATGACATTTTTCATTCATTTTATGGAGTGTGCATGTCTGTGCACATATGTGAACATAAGCATATTTAAGTACTCGTAATATTTTTATTAGCCATAACTTTGTCTTTGTTCATCTTTATTATTGCCATGGGCTCATTAGCTGCATTTTATCTTACATTCAATATCTTGTTTACCTAATTTATTTAAAGCATTGTTTCTTACACTTTAGCACACATCAGAATCTACTTCAAGGCTTGTTGAGACAGATTACTTTGCCTCCCAGAATTTAGCAGTGATATTGATCTGACCGTAGTGGCATATGCCTCTGATTTCAGCACTTAAGGATGCCGAGGCAGGAAAATCATAAGTTCAGGTCCTACCTGAGCAACATAGCATGACTCTGTCTCAAAATTTTAAAAATGTAAAGGGTTGTGATATAGCTAATTGATGGAGTCCACCTTGATTCAATCTCTAGCGTAGGCAAAAACCAAAAACAACAAAAAAGAAGTAATAATTGGTCTTGGTGCTTTGGGGACCACACGTTACAAACACCTGTTATAAAATTTGTCATTTTCTGGCTTAACCTATTGCACAAAGCCAAATTTGATATTACCTGGAGTCATCCTTTTTTTTCCCTATTTTATTTTTTTCTTATTCCATATAGTTAAATGCATGTTAGTGTCTTATTCTCTTACAGTTCTGTACCGTATACAAAATGTTTTTCATAGTGTCCATTTTCTCATTATTAGGAAGAGAGCAAGATGTTTACCCAGTTTTATCTTTTTTTAAAGGTAAAATAAAAATATTGTTGAAACGGTTTCTTTACAGAAGATACAACAAAAACAGTTTGTTCTGTGCTTTGAGAATGGTCTCTTATTGTTAGGAAAAGAAAGAGATCTTATGCCTAATTGTATATTTTAAAGGGTACTGCAAAAATTTTGTTGATTACCTAAAAATTGTCTAGTGTTACAAATTCTTTTCTAATTCCATCATCTTCAGTATCTTATATATTTGATCTTTGCTTTTTTCTTTTAATATTTTGTTTCTTTTTCATTTTACTTTCCTCTCCATGTACAGTAATGCCCATTTACGTGGTTGTCAGATGCATTGACAGTACAGTGAGTTGAAATAAATAAAACTTTAACATAAGTTAGAAATTTCTTCTGAATTGCCAAAGTTTCCATCATAAAAATTGATTATGCCTTCACAATGACATTATTATATGGTTTACGAAGCCCAAGAGAGAGAGAAGCAACAAAATTAATAGAGTACTGTTAGATACTATCCTGCTGATAGTATTTTGAAATGACAATTCACAACAGAAAAGAAGATAGAAAACTTAATTTATACATCTCAAGCTAAAGAGCAACAGATGCTTCTGTGTATGAGTGATACCTACTTTTAATTCAAAACCCTGTGTGAATTCTGCATATAAAATTAAAGATATACCACATACTCTATAAGAGACACATTATTGTATTATAGAAATATGCAGAATATTTTGACTCTTAAAAACATTGTCTTTATATCAGGGGTATTGTACAGTGGTAGAGTGCATACTTAGCATACATAAGTCCTGATTCAGTCCCAGGATCAAGAAAAAGTAAAAAATCATTGTCATAATATTTGACACTAATTCATTTCCATTTATCCTCCAGTGCCATGTAAATGATGTATTTCTGTATTTGAGCTGCCTGTATTATGATGTTCCATTTTAGTTCTCATTTCCATTGGCTCATTTTCAGTACTTTTATTTTCTCTGTTTATCCCATTTGTTCTCTATGTCAGCTGATTTTGCATATGCTTAAATATTTTCATTATAGCTTTTCTTATACTCTTTTTGAGTTGAGTAGCTCCTCCTTCCCCATAGTTCTTCATTTACCTGTGTTCATGGTAGCTTTTAAAACTGCTTGATGAATGCCATTTTGTTTTCACCTAACCTGTTTTATATCATCATATAGAGTATTTGCATTTGAAGTTACTCTGAAAGATCAGATATCAAAAAAGAGAAAGTGATAAACATGGTTATACTGATTTTTTTAAAAGATAGAACCTGTATTCATTTTCTAAATTTACTTCAAAATATTACTGTAATTCCCAAATATCTACACTAATGATCATATCTTCCAAAGCTCAGCTGTATAAAATGTGCATCAAAGTACAGAGGACTGCTGTGAACTTAATATTAGGCTGGACAATAATTATCCATCTATTCAAGGATTTTTTTATTTTCATCTTTGCCCTCTTTTTTATGGTATGTTTGTGAGGATAGATTAAAAGATAATCATTTTTATTCACTTTGCAGGACAAGTCTTGGGGACTAGATAAAATGGGCAGGAACATTTAATCCTCTGCTTCAAAGACTATGTGCATGGACAGTTACAAGGCAGTTATGGCCAGATATGATTAATCGGCTTTGGAATAAAATGCTCCTTGACATTCCTTATATCTTAGCTGAGAAGAGAGACAATCAGGTTAGTTATTTTGTAGGGTACAGATAATGAGTTCCATAGCTTTATAAGTCACCAAAGTGATCCTATCAGTAGTACTTTTAATCTGTTTTCAAATATCCCCATTTTCTTGTTGTGAATTAACTGTGTCCCTTTTGTCAGTGTTTATGCATTGCATTTAATTGTATATTTTTACTACATTTTTATCAAAAGTTTCCAGCATTCTGTAGTTCTCCCGGTCTACTTATTCCACAGTTGCAAAAATAAGAATTCTCATTTTTCCATTGGAGGTAAACGCTTTAGAATACTTTTTATCATTAAATTGAAATACATTGTTAGCAGTTTTATTTTATATTAGATCTTTTAATATTTCTCTTAATTGGAATTTTAAAACATACCGTCCTATTCATTTGAACCACTCTAATAAAGAAGCTTCATATTACAGTACAGTTTTTGTTAACACTTATTTTTCAGAATTAAGTGACTTTATTTTTGTTCTAAGTACCTATCTCAATTGGACATATTAGAACATAGTTTGTGGCTTTGACTTATATAAGAAAAACATTGTCATAATCATTCTCATGGAATTACAGTCTGATAGTGGGAACACTTTCTCCCAAACTTGGTAAAAATTTAATGTTACCAGAAAATACTCTGGTTTTCTCAAATTCAAAAATATAATGTATAGGGCTCTCTTTGTTTTACCACTTTGCTGTTTGGTATTATGATGATAATAGTATTCTCCACAAATTTTTTCAGAATTACAGTTATTTTTACACATTTGGTTTTAAATGTATGCTAGTACTTTATAAGTTGTTTATTTTGAATTTTTGTTAGCATGAATAATTTTGGTTTAACTTTGTTAGCTTTTGTTATTTTCTCACCTACATAATTTTCTATGATGTTACAAATAGATTAATACTGGCTCTCTAACTTCTAAGGTGAAAGTGTTCGTTTAAACAAAAGACAATTAACTCAAAATTTTTATTGATAATGAATTAGTGATTCTGTTCTAATGTTTTCTAAAATGAATTTGGGAAAAATTAGAACATATGGTCAAGATAATCATGTGGGTAGTCTTGAAGAGTGGTTAAAACAGTAAGTCATTCTCAGATCCCCAAAGGACTAAACATTTCCTTATACTTTATTCAAGACTGTATTATGACATATGGTTGATTTATTTACATATGTTCCATTATTAACATTTCTTAAAAAGATAGCATCTTTGGACCTTTTCTTTGAGTAAAGACATGGCATATGAAATTAATTTGTTTATTAATCATAGGGTGAAAATAATTTTGCCTGAGAAAATTGACGTCTTTTTGCTTTGGCTTTCAATTCATGAAACTGTGATAGTGATTGATACAATGAGTTCTGGAGCTAGACTTTGTAGATTCACATTTCTCTCTGTCTTTTAACTAGTTGGATAACCTTATGCTAGTCTTAAACTTTATTTTGTCTCACTTCTAATACTATGTGCAAAAGATAGTAATAAGATATCTTTCACTAAAAGAGGAGACCTTAGAAGAGTGCCTGAGATTTAATAGACATTATCCTATAATGACAAGAAGAGCTAAGAGTGTTTGCCAATATTTATGCCTTTACCAATAATGTATTAAGTACTTTTTGTGTTATAGTTATAATATACATGGCAAATGGGGAATCAGAAATTAGCAAGTAAGTTAACTTTTAAATGGCTAACATCGTGCATCTTTGTCTTTTGACACTCAGAATCATACTCTATTCATTAAATTCAGTATAAGTCTTAACCAGACAGGTTATTTATGGTTAGGACTTTAAAATATTTGGAAAATTTGTATATTAAAAGGATGGATCACAGAGGTATAAATAATCTTTATCTCTGTATTTCATTTTTCTTAAATTTATTTTTTACGTTTTTCTACAAGTTTTGCCTTTTTATTGGTTTGTACTTTCACCCTTTGTGCTATTTTACCTTGCCATCTTTGTCTTTCTTCTCCATGCTCTGAGTATACAATCTTTTCTTCAGTTTTTTTAGTATCTTTATTTTTATTTTTATTATTATTTTTTTTGGTACCGGGGATCAAACTTGGGTCCTTCCACCTACTAGGCAGGCGACGGAACCACTGAGGTAAATCCCCAGCCCTTTTTAGTATCTTTAAATAATAAACTTCTAATATTCTTGGGAGATTCATGCGTAATGATTGGCCGTATATCACCATATCATATCCATAAAATCAAGTGTAACCTTAAAATTGGTTTTTTGAGTCTGTAGTATGGGCTAAAGTAATTTTTCAATTTTTCTAACTAAAGAGGTGCATTTTCTTCAGTTTCAATTACTTTCTATTATCAGTTCTGAAAATTAGATTTCTTTTCATGGCCAATTTTTGAAACAAAGAAACATGATTTTTAAAATGCCATTGTAAGCATTTAACTATCTTATATTTGTTAAATTAGTAATTTTGGAGAAATTACTTCTTTTCCTACTTTTTTCATCTGTGTAATATTGGTAATAATAATCCCATTCCCATTTTGGTGCTATTGTGAAATTCAGATGAACTGATTTATATTAAATCTGTTTAACATTACTTTTTCTGTTCTTTTAATTTTTTTAAGTCCTACTTCATTTACTAAAATTTGTCCTTCAATTTATTTGACTTCCCTGCTGTTGTTTAGATCCTTTATCTCTTTTTAAATGCTCCATTCTTTCATTTTCTTTTTCTTAATTTATTCTGTCTTTTTGATGTAGGATATTATCCAGTAGCTTCTAGGGGAATAAAAGGATATTGTGGAAGTGTATATTTGAGACTTTCCATGTCTAATAAGTAGATTGTATCATTTTGTCTAATAGTTTGTCCCAATATAGATTTAACAGATATAAAATACTGTCAGATTGCTATAAAAATTTCTGAGCATTTCAGCTTTGTAGTTACAATGATCTTTCGATAAAACTTTTGTAGTCAGCTACTACTTGCAGACTATATTCTTGAGGAACAATCAAAAACATGTTCATCATTGTGTTTATATCCAGCAGTTAAAATGTAAAAGCTAAATGAAGTATTCTTGGTAGACCCAAATAAACCACTTTCAAAGCCAGTGTCAATATGATGATGGAATTCCACTAGGCTTATTAATTTATAAAATACTCATTAGTAATACTAAAACATTTTAATGAGTACTGTATGAAAGTAACAATATTTTTCAGTTGACTCAATAAAATAGTAATTCCCATGTTGTGTCTGTCAGATGAAATTAGAAGTCTGTCCTCAATGACTGCTTATGTATGGAGTGAAACTTATAGTGGTCTTAATTTTATACATTTAGAAATATTTTACTTCAGAATTAAAACTGTTATATCTGATATTTTCATGAAAATACATTTATCATCTTGCTTTTTTGGTTTTTTGTTTTCTTGTTTGTTTTGTTTTGGTTCTAGTAAGTCAATTTTTTGTTTAGGATGGGAGGAGGGGGGGTTCATTAGGAGATAACATACCTCAAAAGCAAAAGTCACTAAGCTCAAGAGAATTTGTGCCTCATCTTCCACTGGTGAATTCCAGTCAGAATTGATGTGAATTTTAATGCTCTTCAACTCCTGGATCTTCAAGTCAGTTTTGTTTAGAGATGTAGAAGTTTAGATGTTAACCCTGCATGCTCACAACAAGCTTTGATAAATTAATACTGTCCTCACTTGTACAGTTTGAATACCTCAGATCCCTTTTGTCTTTAACCTATTCTCCTTATATAGATTAATTTAAAATACTTTTTAACCTTCATAATATAAATAAATATTCTACTGCTGAAAATGCATGAAACTGCAGAATCACTACCTTTTATTTTGAAATATAAGAATTTTTCTCAGTGTACTGTTTGAGATATTGTATCATAGGAAAGGAAACATTTATTAAATGTATTTCTAAATTGCCACTAACTTAAATACATTTGTTTTCAGGATTTTTGTGTTATACTTTAGTTTAAGGGTAGTAGCCCTTAAACATGAAGTTGGCCAAAATATAGTTTTAAGAATAACAGATTGGTTGTTCATATATAAATAGATCCTTAGATTGATAGATATATGAAGCATTATATATATGTTTACATATGTAATTACAGTGAAATTGTAAAAGAAATATGTGCTCATTTTTAGTTATATATGTTTGCAGATAAATGGATCAGTTCTAAAGCACTGAAAAGATCTTTTTTTATGATTGAACATTCATATCTGGAGATAAACTACAAAGAACAAAAGGAAAAATTATATATTAGCACAATCCCTCTTATTCTTTTACTAGTATTTTTCACATTCTGTCTTAATAACTTTCACAAATATGAATCGACAGATTAATATTTTAGGTTGTATCATTCCTGTTGATCAGATGATGTAAAGCAGAAGTTTGAAAATACTTAATATTTAATAGGGTTTACGAATAAAAATGAACATTTAAAAGTGCATTAACACTAGCTAGGTAGGTAGAATAGGTCAGTTGGAAAGTTATATAAATGAACATAATTTATAGGATAAGCATGTTTTTCATGTTTTGGAAGTTGTACAGCTTGCTGAGCTGAGAAACAAGGTAGAAGACAAACTTGGGAGTAAAGAATGTGAACTGGTTATAAATATTTAAGGGACCTTTTGATACATCTGATTAAAGGTATTAAGGAATTGTATACATAGATCTGTTAGTCAGAAGAGAGGTCTGAACTTGATTAGTGTATTGGCCCTAAAGTGTTTGTACTTGGGAGTGTCGGGAAAAGCACTGTTGATGCTGCTACTTAAATATTTTTGGCTGGTGATAGGATGAGGCTATTTTAATTGGACAGTGTTAAAAAGCCAAATTATTCTCTATTGGGGTAGTGAAATTGTTTTGCAGACGTCTAAGAAAATACGTTTATTTCTATAAATTAAGTATTTTTAAAAATTTAAATTATCCATGGATTATGAAACAAATTGTTTTTTCCCCTTTATTTGTTTTGTAATTTGTAATCTTATGGAAGGTTTGTTTTATAGGTCATTATTATAATATGCCTTTATTTCATAGCCATGAAGCTCATGACTGCTTTGGTGAATGTTGCCTTAAACCTCAGTATTCATCAGGACAATACACAGAGACAGTATGAAGCTGAGAGAAATAAAATGATTGGGAAGAGAGCCAATGAAAGATTGGAGTTACTACTTCAAAAACGGAAAGAGGTAATTTAAATTTCATGGTAACTGTTGAAATTAGTTCTGTACATGTAATAAATAGTAGGGTTTTTTGTTGTTCTCTGTAAAAAAGTTTGTAGTTTTAAAGCCCATTTTTAACCAAGTTATTTGACATCAGCATTTTCAAACAAAGCCAGAATGTTTACCAGTGATTGGCTATGTGCTGGTCGCAAAAGTAAATAGTAGCCCGATCATTTTTTTTTTAAACAAAGTAGTCTAATAGGCTATTCAGAAATGTTCATCCGGCTACATTCTCAGAAAGGAGAGTAAATACTAAAGTTACAACCGAAGGCCTGTCGAGATGCATTCCAAAGCCTGCATATTAGCTGATGTTTAAAGCATTTCTGTGACTTAATTGCTCTGTTCCCACCCCTGCCTTTTAAAATATGATGGAATCAAACCCAGGGACTGACAGAAAGTTAAGCAAAAGCTCTACCACTGAACTATACCCCTAGCCTTTGGTCCCAGTTTTACAATTACATTTTCATATGTTCAAATGATTTTTTGTATAATTTTATACTGGATATTTCAGTAAGAAAACTTTTCATCTCACTGGATATAAGATTTTAGATTTTTAATATTAGCCTATCACATTTCTGCAAATGGAATTGCATATGTATATGGACAGTGTCTTTTAACAGGTGTCAAAACCCAACAAATAGTTACTACCCATACTGTACAAGTTTAATAATGCTCCTGTAACAAAATCAGTTCTTCAAAGACATTTATTGTCTCACGGTTTTAGAGGCTAGCAGTATGAAATCAAAATGTTCGCCGGGCCATGCTCCCACTAAAGTCTCTAGGGTTCTAGGATTTTCTCCTTGCTTCTGGTTCCTTGGTTGTACCAGCATAAATGCAGACTTGATAGGATGTTCTTTCTATGTGGTATGAAGAAGATAGATTCCATCACTCCTTTTTTTGTTTGTGATACATTATAGTTATATTTATCTTGCACAACTGGTACATATTGCATCTTAATCATTTTTGCTTCTCCTTCTTAGGAGTAGCTGGCAAAATTTTGTAGGCTGTTTCCTTTGCTGTGCAGCTTTTAAATTTGATACAGTGGTATTGGTTGATTCTTAATGTTACTTCTTGTGCAGTTGGGGCTCTTTTCAGAGAGTCTTTGCAAGTGCCTATGTCTTCAAGAGTTTTATCTATGGGCTGGGGATTTAGCTCAGTGGTTTCGCCGCCTGCTGCCCAAGTGCAAGGACCCGAGTTCAGTCCCCCCAAAAAAGGAGTTTTATCTATTCAGATTTGTTCTTTATAGGCCACAAGTTATATTGAATTAGGGCTACACCCATGGCTTCACCTTGAAGGGTGATATCTGCCACTACCCTGTTTCCCACGGAAGTCACATTTTGAGGTCTTGGCACTTAGGACTTGAACATACAAAGTTTTGAAAAACATGTTTGAACTCTATGTTATATACCATACTGTGGTGTTTATTAAGTATATTAAGCTTATCTTAGTCTTTATCAAGTTCTGTTGACTGAAATATATGCCTCTTATGAATTAGTTTTTATATAATACACAAAAAGTAATTTTTTAAGCTATCAGTAAGCTGCAACAATTTGAATGATTTACTGTAAAAGTACATAAGGTCCCTGATATGATACGATTTGACTGAAAAATCTTCAGATTTGCAGTGGTACAAAAACATTACACATTTAGTACAAATAGTATTTTGGTATTTAAAATTTGATCTTTTCCCAGGCTAGCAAATTTGTGGTACCATGCTCACACGCTCTTGATGCTTGATTCTTGGCAGCAGTAGTTTACGGTCATCCACATGATCATGATACTCTTTATAGTATATTTTGTTGCCAGCATTTTTTCCATATTTTGTTTTCTGTTTTGCATCATCACATCATGTCTAGGATACAGTTTTTTCATACGGAGTTCAGTATTGTTAGGCTTTTTGTTTGATGATTGTCCAATTTTAATAATTAATAATTAATATAATAATTTAATTAATAGATGATTGTCCTGAGTATAATTTAAGGTAGGGTAGGCTAAAGGATGATGTTTGGTAGGTTAGGTATATATTAAATGCAGTATTTTCAACTTAAAATGTTTTATGAGGATGTAATCATATCATAAGTTGAAGAATATTCCAATTTTCAAATTAAGTAAAATGCGAAATAGCACACTGCAAAAGAATGTCGAAAGGATTTTCTAAACAACTTCTTTCCATACAAGTTTCTTGGGTTAGTCTTATCTTTCTTGGTTGAGATATCATTCCTGATTGACCTGTCATTATATCAAATTTCCTACTCCATCTAAAATATCCATATACTACTACGAATCTCGGTAGGCTGTAACTGAAAGTAGGCCAGATTCCCCAAATCAGAAGGCCTGACAAAAAAATGAAAAGGATCCTAGCCACTAATGGTGGAATGCAGGAAGAAAGTAAAATATTTCAGCAAATATATAAATTTCAGGCAACTTTACCAATCAGAGTTAAACGTTTGAATTTATTTACTACTCAAAAGCAGTAAAAGGTACTGGTACAAAATGATACTCAATGTGGTAGTTATTCTAGTTTGGCCTGGAATTTTCTGTAGTAATATTCAGTGCCATATTTAGTTTTACTATATATACATATTCAGCAATAAAATTCCTTCTTTTCCCAAAAGAAAATGGTGGCGATAGGACTGTGGCCACATTTATACCACTCTACGTTGTTAGTCATTGTATGGTGTGTCCCTAGAGAGAGACAGAATGAGAGGTTCCAAGACCATTGAGTTAAAGCTGAGGAAATAATGGAAGTATTTTGGTAATTTCAAACATCTGTTGCAAAGTGAGAAGGATTGATAACTACTTAAAATGTGAATAACCAGGAGCTAAAAACAACTGAAACTGTTCATTCATCCCAAATAAAATAACTAGTATTTCAATTTATGTTTGTTTTTTTTTTTTAATTTCAGCTACAAGAAAATCAGGATGAAATTGAAAATATGATGAATTCTATTTTTAAGGGTATATTTGTTCATAGATACCGGTGAGTAATTTTCTTTTAATCATTTAGAATTTTTTTTTTAATCTTAAGTGATTATTCTTGGTGGTCAGGATAATTATAAAGCTATAAATCTCTACTAATTATTATTTTTGTTGTTCTGTTTTCTGGAAAACAACTTTTGATATATATGCTAAATAAATGCTGTATGGAGTATATCATACAGCCTCTACTGCTGCCACACTCTTCCAAATTTAAAATATATACTGTTGGAGGCAACCTATGTATTTGGAGTTGTACTACTGAAATATTAATGTGATTTTTAAATTAATATGTCATTAATAGATGTTGCTTATTTTCACATTTTAAAAAAATTAAATACTCTACTTCTAGCCCTATAATACTGTCTTACTAAAGATAAGTGGAAAGACGGCAAAAAAAAGCATCCCTGCAGATAATGAAAGACTGTATCTTTAGTGAAACCATCAACTATATACATATTAACAGCTAGAGGCTGCTAGCAGTTTCCTGTGTGTGTATGTCTGTGTCATACTCCATTGCAAATGAGTTTAGTTTGTTTTTCTGTGGAATATGAAACTTTTTAAAAATAATTTTTTGAGACAGGGTCTTACTATTACTTCAGGCCGGCTTTGAACTCACTATATAGTGCAGGCTCGCCTTGAACTCACAGCAGTCTTCCTGCCTCAGCCTCCCAAGTGCTGGGATTACGGGCATATCTTATAAAATACTAACTACATTATAAAAGCATATTTCACAAAGTACTGAATCATAAACATACAAAGTACTGAATCATAAGCATACACTTCTGTTAATTAGATATACAGATAAGGAGGTATACAGTGGATGCACTGTTGTTATACACACTTGTTACTGTAGTTGGTGAATTAATATTAAAGAGATAGTTTAAACAGGGAAATCATTTGTGTGTGTATGTGTTTAAAACATTGATATTTTAGCAGACTTAAAAATATTAACTCAAAGTATAAAAAGATTTTTTGAAATACAGCCAAGCCTATTACTTTAATTATGGATTGTGTGAATGGAGTTATACATACGCTTCCTTGCATCAACTAAACATGTAACCCACTATTGATGTATTTATTTCAGAAAAGGAAAGAACTACATATATTTTGCATGTAGTCTTTTTTTCTTTTTACTACAACTTCATGAACATATAATTGATACAAAACTACACAGATAAGTACATAAATTGATGAGTTTGAAATATATATCTATAAAAGCACAAGAAAGATAATGATTAAATCTATCATCCTTACAAGGTTTTCCATGGTACTCTGTAATTTATTTCTACTTATCTTCCTGTCACTCTCCTATCCCAGCATCCTCAAGCAATCATTGATCAACTATATGAATTGTGTGCATTTTCTAAAGTGTTAACAAAAATAGAATTATACAATATCTACTCGGGGTTTTTTTTGTATTAAATTCTTTTATTGGTACATTGTAGGTATACAACACAATTACATTTCTCATTGGGAATTGTACCTTTATATAATGCATCTTGGTTCTTATTTTTTCCCCGTTCCTAGCCCTCCACGCCCTCCACCCTTCCCTATTTACAAGACTTTATTTCCATTTTTTCCATTTCTCATCATTTTTTCCTTTCCCTTCTTTCCTTTCCCCTGCGCCTCCCACTACCCCTACCCCTTTGGACCTTTTATTCCTATTTTACATTATCGATTATTCATTCTAATCATTGGTACATTTTAGGTATACAATATAATGACATTCATCATTGGAAAGTTGCACCTTTACATAGTCTCTCTTGGTTCTTATTTTTCACCCTTGCCCAGCCCTCCCACTTCCTTCCCCTTTGCTCCTTTTCTTCCTCGTTTTGTTGTTGTTTTGGTCTGGCTTAGTAAGCAAAATTGGTGTCTTTCAGCATTAAGTTTGTGGTTAGCTGTAAGGTTTTTGTAGATGTCATTTGTTTGGATTGAGGAAGTTTTCTATTTATGTGACAGTATATTTGCAATGTATGTTGGATTTTTATATGTAACTTCTGCATCTATTGATCATTTTTTAATTTTCTAACACTGAATGTGGTAAAATAAGTTGTTGAGTTTTAAATGTTAATATGAATTTATGAATTCCTACAGTCATGATATATTTTAAAATATATATTATTGGATGTGACTTGTTAAAAGTTTTCCTCTAAATTTTTGCATCTGTCTTCAAGACAGATAAATATCTCTTAATTTCATGGTAATGAATTGGTGATCACTTAGGTATCTGGATTATGCTGGCCTTGTATATTTAGTTGCACTGTATTCTCCCTTTAATTTTCTGGAACAGTTTATTTTTAATTGGGTGTTATTTCTTTACATGTAAATTCTACCATTGGAGCTTAGAGTTTTCTTTGTAGGAATGTTTTGTAACTGCTAATTAAATTTCTCAGGTAGGTACAGGACTGTTCTTATGTTTTTAAAAAATAACCTTTGATCTGCTGCCTGCCTCACAAGCCCAAGGACCCGAGTTCCATCCCTGGTACCAAAAACAAAAACAAAAACAAAAAAACCTTTAATAGTTATGTCTTAGAAGAAATTGGTACAGTCATTTAACTCACTGAATTATATTCAACTGTCAGCATACAGTTGTTCATAATATTAGTTCTCTTCTATCTCGTTCTCATCCTCTACCTTGCCTTCCTAACTTTTCTCTCCACTCTTTACCCCCTGTCTGTCTGGTCTGTCTGGCGCTAATAAATTTTATTAACTTTTTTTCTTAAGAAATGACATTTTGATTATGTTGTTTTCCTATTATTTTTCTAGTTCACTGATTTCTGCAGTTTTATTCTTTCTTCTACTTTATTTTCTCAAGATGAAGCTGAGGTACTGAGGTCATTGATTTGAAGTCTTTCTCATTTACTTTATAGTAATTTGCTGCTATAAATGTCTCTCTAAGCACTGCTTTAGTATGGCCCCTAAATTTGGATGTATTGTGTCTTCATTTTCATTCAAAATACATTCTAATATCACTTTTAATTTTTCTTTGAACCATAGGTTTTTAAGTAGTATTCAGTTTGTAGATATTTGATGGATTTCTAATTGGGTGTTCTGGTATTGATTTCTAATTTGTAAAAATAACTATTCAGAAAACATACTTTGTGTGATTTGAATGCTGTTTATTTACATATGTGTTTATGGTACTGGGATTCAACCTAGAGCTTGTCACTGAGCCTCCCTAGCCCCACCTTTTTATTTTTTATGTTAAGGCAGAGTCTCACTAAATTGCCCAAGCTGGGCTTGAAGTTGTGATTCTCCTGCTTCTGCCTGCTGGAGTGCAGGGATTGCAGGTGTGCACCAGCGTGCTCAGCTTGCTTTTAAATGACTTATTAGTTTTATGTCCCATAATACATTCTATCTTGAAGAATATTCTGTTTGCTCTGCTTTTGTTGACTATTCTTTTGTTTGTTTGTTTTGGTACAAGGGATTGAACTCCCGACCTTGCACTTGTGAGGCAGGCTGGGGAACTACTGAGCTAAATTCCCGGCCCAACAAATTGAAATACACATTACGATAGACCTAGTGGCTTAATACAATGCAAACTTTTTTTTTTTTCCTGTGGTGCCAGGCATCAAACTCAGGACCTTGTGCTTGCAAGACAGATGTGGTGCCACTGAGCTAAGTCCCAGGCCCCTTTTATTGACTATTCTATGTCAGTTTGATGAAATTTCTTGATACTGTTGTATAAGTCTTTTCATCCCTTACTGATTTGCATCAATTTATTCCAACAATTTGGTTTTATAGGAGTACTTTTGTATTCTTGATTCAAAACCATATTCAGATATATGATATGGAAATATTTTTCCCAGTCTGTCTGTCTTGTCTGCCTGTCTTTCTTTCGATCAATACTAGGGATTGAATCCAGGGACTTCACCCTGAGCTAACATCCCCAGCTCTTTCTAAACTTTTAGACAAGGTCTCACTAAATCATAAGTTGCTTTTGTTATCACGGCAATGGCGTTTTCATAGAGTGAGTTTGAAAGGGTTTCCTCCCTTTCAGCTCTTTGGAGTAGTTTGAGGAGAATTGACATTATGTCTTCCTGAAATGTTTCCTCAAATACAAGTATGAAGCCATCTGGTCCTGGGCTTTTCTTTGTTGGTAGTTTTTTTTTTATTACTAATACTGTGTATTTCTTGGTTTTGGTCTGTTTAGGATTTCTTTGTCCTCATCGTTAAATTTCTATAGGTCATACAGGATACTCTTAAGTGAAATAAATAGGACACATACATGTAAATACCTAATAGTTTCTCTAGTGTGAGAACCTGAAAGTGCACATAAGGACTAAAAGGTATAGTAGACAATGTGAGATAGGTAGAAAAGGTCCACAGGGGAAGGGGAAGTGGAAGGGGTAGGGGTAAAGAAAGAAGGGAATGGAATTAATGTTAGAAAAAGAAAAACTAGAAACAAAGTCTTTGTAGATAGGGAGGGGTAGAGGGGTTGAAGGGAGGGTAGGGGAATAGGGAAAAAATAAGAACCAAGATGGATTATGTAAAGATGTGAATTTCCAGTAATGAATGTCATTATATTGCATACCTTAAATGTACCAATAAAATTAATTTAAAAATTTCTATAGGTCATTTCTGTCTAGCAATTTATTCGTTTTGGTTTTCTGAGTTGTTGATGTGTAATTGTTGATTATAATACCTAATGATGCTTTGTGTTTCTGTCACATCAGTTGTGATGTCTTCTATTTAATCTCTGATTTTATTTAGTTAGCTCTGGCTCTTTCTCTCTGCCTCCTTCCCTCCCTTCCTCCCTCTTTTTCCCCTCCCACCCTTCCTCCCTTCCTCCCTCTCTCTCCTGGTTTCTTGTTTTTTCAATTTCTCTTATATATAAGCGACTAATTAATTTTGTACTTTGCATATTTTCATGATAGTTATGTTCTTTTGTTTCTTGTCTAGAACTTTTATATATTTCTTTTAGAGCTGTGTGATATATGAAGTCTGTTTTTTTTTTTTGGTCTTGAGAAGAATTTATTTTTTCATCATACCTGAATGTAG